TTTTTATTTTTGATAATTATTTTAAAAAAATTTAGGAACATAATTTTTTAGGAACTATTTTTATCTCATTTTTTATAAAAATATTTTCATAAGAGGGTAAAAATCTAAGTTTTTCGAGTTAGAGAAATTTTTTTATAAATATAAAAATATCACAATATCTTTTTTAAAATAGAAAATTTCTCACTCTTTTTATTTCTTTTTCTCCCTCTCCCTCCCCCTCTCTCTCTCCTTCTATTTTTCCCTCTCCTTGTCCCTCTCTCTTTGTCTCTCTCACTTTCACTCTCCCTCTCTCCCTCTCCCTCCTTCTATTTCTCTTTCTCCCTCCCTTTCTTTATCACTCTCACTCCCTCTCTCTTCCTCTCTCCCCCTCTCTCTCTCTTTCCTTTCCATATTTTCTATTTCTCTCTCATATCTCATTATTTCTTGATTTTGTCAATTTTAAAAATATTATTAAAGTTTGTTTAATTTCTACAATTTAATGATATGTATTAACACTTTATTTATTATTTAAATGAAATAAAATAATATATTTTTATTCTTCTTATTTATTATGTAACATTTTTCTTTATTTATTTCTTTTGTTGAACTCTGTATTTAAATAATTTTAATTATAAGTTTTTAACTTTTTAAATAATTTAATGATATATTTGTAATAAGATTTGAGTAAACAAGTACATCTAATAAAATTATTTTAATAAAGGATATTTTTGTTAAAAATATTATATATCCAAGAATATACTATTATAACTAAACATAAAAATTTTAATTCTTACAAAATTTTATAAATATTCCTTGAAACTTTTATGAGTAACCAAACAAATTTTAACTATTCCTAAAAATCATAATTTCTCATAATTTTTTATTTTCAGAAATTATTATTTCTATATAAGAAAAAAAATCATTTTAACAAAGGTCTCTTAAAGGATTCAACGCAGACATAGCGATAAATATTCATATTGTACATTAAATATATATATATAAAGAGAGATCCGTTTACTGCAGGAGTAAGTCTACCTGGACTTTAATAACTCATCTTCTATATCAAATCTTAAGAATCTAACAGTTGAATTTAAAATTTTTAATATATAGATCAAATCCATCTGGAAAAAAAAAAAGATCAAAAGTGCAAAAACAATAAATTACAGAGATAAAAATTATATTTAAATCTAAAAAATAATTATATTTAACTAGAAAAGTTTATTATTACTACTACTATTATTATTATTATTATTATTTTATTATTATTATATGACCGAGTTAGGTCGGATTGAAAATATAAAACTCGTTACCCAATCCATATAGTATTAGAATTTGATTAAGTTAGATTGAGTTTGACTTGAACACTAAAAAAATCTGATCCAAACTCATTAGATTAATTTGTATCAATTTGATGCGAATTACCCGTACCCACTTCCACTCATAAAAAAGAGTCCCAAAACAATATCCCATTTTATTAACGAAAAGAAAACCCATGAAGGAAAAGACATTTCGAAGGTTGAGTATTACCGGTGATTTATACTTGAACTACTTAATTAAAAATTAGAATTTGATTTTTTGAGCATAACATTGTAATCGGAGGTACTATTTTACTTTTATGTAACTGATCCAGGAAGAAGGAAATATACTTTATTTAAAAAATAAAACATTAAATAAATCAACAAGACTTTATCGAACGAAAATAAAAGACAAGTTATATTTAAATAATATTCATCCATATTACATGCACAAATACACAAAAAAAAAAGTCAACTAGCAAGAGGAAAACAAATCGTTGAGAAGATTGTGAATTTTGTAAGGAAGTATTTTTTAAGGGAAGATTTTTTTTATACACAAAAATTATGATTCTTAATAATTAAAAATCTTGATAATTATGATTTATAGGAATAGTTAAAATTTATTTAGTTACTTATTAAAAAAAATTCAACTATTTATGTGTTTTTTTAATTAAAATTTTCACATTTGGTTATAATAGTACATTCATGGATATATAAATATTTTTTACAAAAATATATATTTTTAAAATAATTTTATTAGATATATTTATTTACTCAAATCTTATTATAAATATGACATAAATTTTTTAATTATCTAATTACTTTTTGAAGATAAAAAATAATTACATATATAAACAAATTTTATAAATAATAATATTTACATTTGATAAAAATTAAACCATTTTAAAAAATTGATAACATATAATTAAAATTGTTTAAATACAAAATAATAAAAAAATAAAAAAAAATGTTACCTCATTCAAAAAAATTGTTATCAAATATCATTAAATCATAGAAACAAAATAAACTTTAATTAAAAAAATGAAAAAATAATGAGACACGAGAGAGATAGGGGAGGAGAGAAAGAAGGGAAAAAGGAAAGGGTGACTAAGAGAGATATTTTGAAAAGATGAAATTAAATTATATATTTTTAATTGTAAAAAAGGAATATTGTGATGTTTTTATATAACTAAAACTTTTTAAGTCAGAAAAGTTGAATGTTTAACCCCATCACAAGATTTTTTTTATGGAGAAAGTGGAATAAAATAGTTATTAGAAAATGATATTTCTTGAATTTTTTAAATAAATATCATGAAAAATAAACATTCTCCATCTAAGATTCATTAAAAAAATAAAAAAATAATAATCTTACCAAATACTCGAAGTTCAAGGTACTCATAAAAAAAAAAATCAAAGGAAAGGAAATGAATAGTTCATAAAACGCATTGAAATATATCTAAGGACACAACCGTAGTTGATAAGTGATGTAACAACACCACCGAGACATAAGTACAATGAAGAAAAATATGTTTATAAAAAACAAAAGACAACCAAGGCACATGCAAAATTCAAAGGCACAAAACAACTTCGGACACTTGACAAATTTTTATATGATCATTTGGTTGTCAAAGTTTAACTATAATATTCTGTTAGTTTTCTAGGATTCACGTTCACATCAAAATCACTAGGGAAAAAGAAGGTATAAATTGAAAACGTATCAATCCTTATGATATAAATAAGAATTATAACTCCGAAAGTTAATTAGGCTCTCTCAATCAGACATTCTAAATATTCTCCATTTTCTCTATTTTGGAGATGCATTTCACATACTACCCCCGTAAGGCCAGAGCCTGAAGTTTAATTTAAGGGGGCCACGCACAAAAACCACAACTTAATATAAATAAATAAATTTCCAGATATACAATAAATACAGGAAAATTAACATATATCTATATGTATACCTATATATATATATAATTAATAATTTTGATGCAAAAAATAAACACAATTGAATTGAAATTTATCTTTGTTTTCCAACTATATTTGAAACCAACTGGTACAATTTATTTGGGAGTTAACAATTTGTTTTTTAATTTTATTCATCTTTGGATTTAACTTGTGTTCTAGCATTGTTTTCTTGAAATATAAAAGTATGGAGCTCAATTTGGATTTTATTCACTCAAATGTAAAGCAACATTGTAATCACTAACAAATGATAAGACTATTTAGCATGAGAAACATATCATCATAGATTCGTAGGAAATAGAGAAATCGAGTTTTGATGAAAGAGTGAATAATGGGAAGAACCGAAAAAAGAGTGGAACGGATTAAAAAAGAACAAGTAGATCAAAAGAAGGTAAAATATCATAGAAAGAATAGAATAGATAAAGGGGTAAGACAGATAAGATTATTTTTACTTTACAGTAGAATAGCTAATCCATGACCGCCCTCCCTCTGTCACTGATCTTCGTCATTAGCAAAAGAAGAAAAAAATTAAATTATTGTATTTTTATCTTTATATGTATATTTAATCTTCTTAACCACATATTTTTCAATCTACTATTTTTTATCTATCTGAATTGAATTTCAATAACTTTTTTCAATCTTCAATTAAATACAACCTTATATGATAAGCTAAATAATTATTTTTGAATATAAATCATATATTTTAAAAAATATTTATCATAACATGTTTTGTATATATTGAAAAATAATTAATTGTTAAAAAATTAAGTTATATAAAAATAAACATTTACTCAACACGCAACAATTGTATACCTTGTTTTCAGCTTCCCTCTAACCTCGAGGAACACACTCCAATTCTTCCTGCCATGCCTGCATCTCAATACATCAAACTCGCTCGGTTAAATTCCTTAAGGATGAAAAATTGTCACTATTATTATCATAATTTTCATCTAGAAATGATTGTGGCAACTTTTGATATGTGCCCTACCGTGGCCAGGTTCAACTATGACTATAGAAATATTTTCCTTACAACCCAATCCTTCCCACTCTTGCATTTTCTTTTGCTAAAATGAATAACATTGAGGTATAGTATATATTTCAAAAGAATTAGGGGGACAAACATAAAATTACTGTCTCAGTTATGTAAAGTAGCAAATATAGGGTGAAAGGTCTACTTAAGAGTGACTTTTAATATGCATAAAAGATAGAAAATGTGTTCTGCTTATATTTATACTTAAAATCAAAAGTGCTTTGAATTGGTTTAGGCAATGAACAAAAAACGGCATTGACTCTAAATTTGCTATACACTTACTGATAGTGTGAAATATAAGGAAACCTAATAATTTGACCTACTTTCTTCTCATTAATCTATGTCTATACCTGAATTACTTGATTTGTCTCTTGTAGTGTCTTGTTTTGTTCCTAACGCTCATGGGCTTCCATATCATGTAGTTCTTGATTTAAGGTTGCACATTCAAGCTCTTGAGTTATAAAGTTCTATACACAGAATTCTCAGCCGTATAGACAACTTGAAACCCAGCAAGTATATCTACCATAATGTCGTCAATTCAATTTGATATAAACTAATGACACATGCCAAAATCCAAACAGAAAACGGTGCTTTAAGATGATTTACATCCCATCTAAAAGCTAAACCATAGCAAGTGCTTACATTACCTGTATCCTTGCAAGCTCAGTGGATGTAAAATTAAAAAATTACCAACATTCAAGCAATATGCTCATCATTCATTAAAAAAGGACTTCCAAAAAAACCAGAGCAAATACCTCCATAAACAAGAATCTACTTTCAACAGTACATTTCCTTCAGTATAAGTTACTGAAAACATAGATTGTCATAACAACTATAAGCAGTTTAACAACAACCAAAAAAACATTATACAAAAACAGTTTATTTCACCACCTAATCTGAGAGATGGGAAGGGGACTTCAATAAAAACTCAAATGCTAACACAAGCACATTGTCATGAGCATCCATTTTCAGACATACCAACCTAAGCCACCAGTACGGATACTAAACAGCAATAAGCATAATAAACAAGTCAGGCATCATCAAACATTGTGCTACCTAGTGCCCTCTTTCAAATCCAATGCGAGTCCTACCAGAACCTCCCTCATAGCCATCCCGCATTGAAGATCCAGCACTTGCCCTCATAGTTCCTCCACCACCCACCTTTTCCATGGCCTTCTTACCCTTCTTCACCTCTGTCAAAAACTGATCCAAACCAAATGGATCAGCCTCTTCATTCTCAAACTCAACCGGCCTATCCCTCGGACCAGCCCTCTCAGAAGCCCCGGAAAATCCTTTATCAGGCTTAAACCGATCAGTCTTCATTATTTTCTCCAGCTGCTCATCCGCACCCGCACCTCCATAAGTATCATTATCAAGATCCTTCTTTGGCCTATACAGCGTCGAGAGCGTCGGCTGTGCAGTAAACAACCCATTCTCATACACATTGTACTGATCATCAGTGGCAAAGCCAGAGGCCATTCCCTTGTCCTGGCTAAACAGCCTCTCATCATACATAACCTCAGTCCCTGTCTTGGTGGAAGCCATACCAAGAGCAACCTTCTCACTAATATCACGATCCCTATCTCGCGTAATCTTGCTCCTCTTCCCCATGGCAGCATCCTTGGCCTCCAACCTCCTCTCCCTCTCCCTCTCCTTCCTCCTCTCCTCGCGAATTTTCTCACGCTGAAGCCTCTCATCTCTCTCCTCCCTACTCTCCTTCACAAAACCCCTCTCCCTCTCCCTCTCCCGAGGATTCTCATGCTCATGATCATAATCAATGTGCATATCACCGTCGTCCACCGGCACACCCGCCGGAGGGGCTGCCGCAGCCGACCCCAATTCTCTCCCCTCCAATCCTCTCCGACCGCGCCTTCTGTGCCAAGGCTCTCAATTCCTGCTCCTTCCTCTCCTTCTCCTTCAACATCATCTCCTTCTGAACCTTAGACCTCATTGCCACCGCCTCCCTCGCCTTCTGCTCCGCCACATACAAAGACTCCGACAATTTCGCGAAGTTGTCGTTAATCTGAACATCCTGAAGGCCTCTCCCATCAGCAGCAAGCCTCTTATCAAGAGGAATAGTGTAACCCTTCGGATTCTTCCAATTCGAAATACACGGAGGAATCTTCCAATCTTGCTGGTCCTTCACCGTCACCGGCCGCGGCGGAGAGTGCATCACCGGCACCGGCGGCGACCCCGAGGCCTTCGGAACACGCTTATGCTTGAACTTCGGAGGCTCCAAAGGATCCACCGGCATCTCCACCATCCTAATAACCCTCTCCTTCGCGCCGGAATTGAACGCCGCGGATTGCTGCGAGGGTTTGTATTTGATATACTTGGCGTCGGAGTTCTGCTTCGGAACGTTCTTCGGTTGCGCGGCGCTGAGTCTCACATTCACGATCTTCTCCAGCGCGGCTTTGGTCTCCTGCATCGTTTCCTCGATCTGTTTCTGTGCCTCGTCATCGGAAACGGCGTCGTCTTCTTCGTCGTTTTTGAGGATCTTAGGAATAAGATCCTTCTGCTGCGTGTACACGATTTTGCGCGCGTTCTCGTTCTGCCTCACGATGGCGTCGTAGGCGACGTTGCCGTGAGCGTCGACGGTGACGGGAAGGATTTTGGATCCAGGTTTCGAGGCCTTGTTTCTTCCCATGTCGAGAGGGTACTGCGCCACGTGGATCTCGGGAAACGCGCCGCCGTCGCCGAAGTCTTCGATTCTCCGGGGGACGAAACCGGCGCGCTTGAGGTAGGGCGGCGTTGGCTTCTGTTTGGCGGCGACGGCGGCGGATTTTTCCTCCTCCGATGAGGAGAAGCGCTGCTTGAACCATGGGTCGTTGGTGTGGTCGTAGTAGGTGGTGGAGGAGGATTTTGCAGGCGGAAGAAGCTCTTTCAGAGTGGCCATGGCTGTGAAAATTCAGAAGCTACGACAGAAGCGTAAGATAACCTAATCAGATGGAAAGAGGGAAAGAAAAAACCCTAACCCTAACCCTACCGGTGATTTTGGGCGAAGGGTTCGTTTGTTTCGGTTCGCAGACTGTGACAATGTTCGACTGCGTTTACAACAGATTGATTTTTATAGCAACCAGACTTTAATTTATAAATTTTATTGTGCACTTTTAATTAATTAAAAATTGTTATAGATATATTTTTTAACATAATCAATCCATTATATAAAATTTCTTATTATTCATTTTCTTATCGTGTATCCTTTAAATTTAACAATTCTTTAAATCAGTCCCATCTTTAAACAGCAACTTCTATTTTGTCCATTTAATTTTTTAATTAATTTAATTTTTATTCATCATAATAATTTATGATTAATCAATTCATATATATTATAATACAGTTAAAATGAGTAGTTATCCATGGTTTTATTGTCAGAAAGACACCAAATTTTTTTAATTTACATAAATATAAAAATAAAATTTACATAATTAAATTATAAAAGAAAAATATATAATAATTAATCAATAAATATGTAATGTTTATACTTCTTAATAAATAATTATATAAGAAAAATATTATTATAAAAATTAAATTAATCAATATTAATTAATTAATTAATATGTAATGTTTATACTTCTCAATAAAGAATTTTCTTGTAATTTTTAAAAAATAAACCAATAATATTATATATATATATAATATTATTGGTTTATTTTTTAAAAATTACAAGAAAATTCTTTATTGAGAAGTATAAACATTACATATTAATTAATTAATTAATATGTAATGTTTATACTTCTCAATAAAGAATTTTCTTGTAATTTTTAAAAAATAAACCAATAATATTATATATATATATAATATTATTGGTTTATTTTTTAAAAATTACAAGAAAATTCTTTATTGAGAAGTATAAACATTACATATTAATTAATTAATTAATATGTAATGTTTATACTTCTCAATAAAGAATTTTCTTGTAATTTTTAAAAAATAAACCAATAATATTATATATATATATAATATTATTGGTTTATTTTTTAAAAATTACAAGAAAATTCTTTATTGAGAAGTATAAACATTACATATTAATTAATTAATTAATATGTAATGTTTATACTTCTCAATAAAGAATTTTCTTGTAATTTTTAAAAAATAAACCAATAATATTATATATATATATAAAGAAAAAATATGATATATAAAATAATATATAATTAACTTATTTCCTTCAATTTTTGCTATTTTATATTTATTTTATTATTAATAAATAAGGATCGTTTTGAAATTTCTCTTTTTTCCTTTATATATAATCTCTTGCTTCTCTCTTTATTATCTCAATAATGATTTTTTTTGCTCTATTAAAATCTTAAAATCAAATTAAAATCTCTTTTTATTAACCACACCAAATTTTTAAGTGATGTGTCACCATGGTCATCTTTTTTTCTTCCATTACAATAAATTAAGAGTCAAGGTAAATGTTTAAAAATAAGCAATCACATATTGTTGTTTCATCTCATTGTCATCTACTCATTAATGATTTATAATTTGAATCAGATTATAATTTAATTTTTTTTTACATATTTGTCCGATTATGAGTTTGAACATGTTGAACAAACAAAACCTTCTAACCATCTCAAATGGAAAAGAAATAAACAAATTGAAATTGATATTGATTTTCAAAATAGTGGTTTAATATATTTTTTTTTAAATGTCCTATAATTTTTCTTTTAAATGATGCAAATCTAGATAATCTAAACTCCAAAGTTAACAATTTTGAAAATGAAGAACCGTATAAGAATAATTAAGAGCATGATATTTGTAACGTAGAAAAAAAAAATGTGGCTGATTTAGTAGCCCAGAACAGGTCGTTCCCAATCTGGAACGAGTCGTTCCAAGCTATTAATTGAACTGAAAATCGTAATTGAGAACGGGCCGTTCTGGAGGGAGAACGGGCCGTTCTGGTGGGCGAACGGGCCGTTCTGGATGGAGAACGGGCCGTTCTAGATGAGTTCCAGAATGGGCCGTTCTGTATGTGGTTTTTATACGTGTTGAAGGAGTGCAGAACAGGTCGTTCCGATTTCAACGTTTCGTAGCTAAAATGTGTATTTAACCCACATATTTATATTTTATCAACTTGACAACTTATTCATCTTTCAACATTCAACTTAACAGCTTTAACAACATGCAACGTTCAACTTTTAACTCTACATCATGTCAACTTAAACAACATAAATAACATACATCTTTACAACATTCACATCTTGAGAAAACAACATCATATATCAACTTAAGCAACTAGAATGACTTACAACTTTACAACTTTTAACTTTAACAACTATCAACATACTATAAGACAACTTAGAACATCAAAGTAATATAATAATTCAACATCAAAGTAGCTTTACAAATTTAAGCATACATCAACAAAAACAAATTCTTGACAATCAACTGAAAACAACCAAACAATTTAACAACTGAATAACTTAAGGCACAACTTACAACATGTATAATAGTCTCAACATAACAACTTCAATAATAACTTAAGGCGAGCTTGCCGCGTTTGAGTAACAGGTTGAGATCGACGGCGGCTTTGCTCTTGGCGATGCCTTTTCTGAGCATGAGGAACACGATGCGCACGATGTTCCATAGCTTCCTTGCGGCTATTGCTTGTGGGCTTGGACTTGGGCCTGGGCCTGGGCCTGAGCCTGGTTTGATTTCCATTGTTGACCAGGTGGTACCGTGAGTGGGACTTTGTTGTTGTTTAGTTTGGGAGAGGGAGTGAATGAATTTGGAATGGTGTTGAATGAATGGGAAGTGGAGGTTGGGGAGGTATATAAAGGAGGTGCATCATGGTTATCATTATTAAGAAAACAATTATATAATTGCATTTGGGATATTATAATGTAAAGTTCCACTTTCAATTTGAGCGCCTGCTCGCACTATTTTGTTATTGTTTACATAAATGTAGGAAATTCTATTATTGATATACATAAAATAAAATATATAATGGGAATCTATCTTTTTTTAGTTGGTTCAAGAATTGAGTTAAACTTAAATTTATGGTACTTAAGATAATATTAAAGTTTATTTTAATGATTGTTATTGGATCTATCGAATCATTCGTTATTAAATTATTATTAGATCTTTTTTACATATTTAGTCTTATAAATTTGAGGGTTTAGATATTGGATAGTTGACATGAATGATAATTATTAAAATTTTTAAAATGATTAATAGTATGATAAAAAAGTTTATAAGTTAAGACAATCTTTATTCTTCACTCACAAAATCAATTGTGGGATCTCAAATAATAAATTTGATCTAAGTCACTTATGGGATTAACTCAACGACTACCCTCCAATACTAGATTAGAGATTAAGTCCCCAACCCGGTACTTTACTCAATTGGTTACTTGTAATTAGTATAACTTTGCCTGACTCCTATATTTTGGTTCCTTTATACACGTGGATCTCGATCTTACCCACACACGGATTACTATGTAAAACCTAGATGAGACAATTGAAAATAACATACCCATTCAAAAGTCAACTTACTTATTGAAGGGTTTAACACAATGTATATCCACACAATGGGTTATTAAATTTTGAAAAACATCTTTAACTCTCCTCTATTTTCTACGTTTCGTAGCTAAAATGTGTATTTAACCCACATATTTATATTTTATCAACTTGACAACTTATTCATCTTTCAACATTCAACTTAACAGCTTTAACAACATGCAACGTTCAACTTTTAACTCTACATCATGTCAACTTAAACAACATAAATAACATACATGTTGTTCGTAGTGTGACGGTCATGGCGGGTCGTTACAATATTTTTAGTTGAAAATAGTGAAAATGAAGATGATTACCATAACAAAATTAAATATATTAATGAAAAAAATTAATATATTCATGCTAGACAATCTAGACAATATAGTTCATTAAACATTTACAATCTAATAAGAATTAATCAACTATACACTGTTAGTGTAAAAAAAATTTATATTGTCAATCAATTATATATTTTAATTGTGCCATGTCACTATAAATACATTTACTTTTAATAGTGACATGGCACAATTAAAAGATATAATTGATTGTCAGTGTAAAAAAAATTTACACTAACAGTGTATAGGTGATTAACTCATTTAATAATATGAAATAATCTTAAAAGAATAACAAATATGAAAATCAAGAGTTTGTGTAGTTTGAAGGAGAAGAGGGAAAGGGAAGGAAAGAGAAGAGTTAGAAATTTTATTTGACCAAGAAGAGAAGAAGGAATGTAACTTTTTTTTTGTTTGATTCACAAGGAGAAGGAAGAAGAGGGATTTTTTTTTCTAAAAAAAAAAAAGAGAGATTTTAAAAATTTATTTATTTTTGCATTCTTATAATTTTAAATTTAATAACGTAAATAAAGATATTTTAGATATTATATTAAAATTACTTTAAAATCTCTTTGCTAGATTCCAAATCTCCACAATATTAAAGGGGAGTTAAGGTTAAGTTTGGATTCAAATGAAGGAAAGAATTTTATTAGATGGAAGAGAAATGGAGGAAAGAGGACAAGTTAGAAATTTAGTTTGGTTATGAAAAGAAAACAAGTAAATTTTTTTGTTTGATTCATAAGAAGAGGCAAGAAAATTTAAAAACCAAATTAGGTTTTGTGTTTTTATAATTTTAATAATATAAATAAAAATATTTTAGATATATTAAAAATATTTTAAAAATTCTCTGGTCCCTCCAAATCTTCTCAACATTAGAGAGGAGTTAAAATTAAATTATGAGGAATTTTGTTTCACTCCCCTCCTAAAATTTTAAAAAAAAAAAAAAAAAACTTTAAAAATCCTTCCTCTTATCTCCCTTCCATTACCCTCCAACCAAATATTATTTAAAATTTGGTTATGAGAAATTTTGCTCATCTCTCATCAACCAAATAAGAAAATATTTTAAAAATTCCTCCCCTCCCCTCCCCTCTCCTCCAATTCTTTTCAATCAAATACTATGAGAAGGTGATTGCTAAAGAGAATATCACCTTTATATATTAATATAGATAATTAAGTAAATTAACAAGGCATTATATAGATAATTAAGTAAACTAACAAGGCATTATTAGTATATACATACATACATTTATTACGAAAAAAAATAAAAAATAAAAAAAAGGAACTTCATCTTTATTGTATTAAATCGGGGAAGATAAAAGAAAGCACGTAGAAGGGGTATATATTGGGGGGGGAAAAACTGAAGTGCCAAATCAGCTAATGCTAAAATCAAAATAAAGTACAACTAGAAAACAAGTTTTACTTTACAAATTAATTTATACCGTTGAATTAAGTCTATACGAACATTATATGATAAAAGACCCCACAAATCCTTAAACAAAATACAAGTCCTAAGTTCTAACACAAGAGGACGTTATTCAAACTAGACAAAAGAAACTGATAATAAATATTCTAAAACATTTAAGATTTGAAGGTTAATCCTCTTATACATGTCTTCCTCTTGTGCTTGCTAAGACATGTTAAATTAAACTTGTGATGAGGTGTTAACTGTAGAAGGAAATAAGAGATATAATGTAATGCAATGAAAGAGAGAGAGAGAGAGAGTTATGAGATATGAAAGACTAAACAAGAAAAGGATAACTTAAAATAATGGTATATACTATACAACATCAGTTTAATAACATGCTTCATGAACCAAAAATCTCACGCAATGCAGATGGAGCACAGTTCAGAAGCTTCTGATTTTGTTTTATGATATAAAGCTTAGTCAAAGCTGAACCCGCAATCTTCCATGCAAAGCCACATTTAGAGACTGTATTTGTTTTAACGGCATATTGATAAGCAAGGCGATACACAGCCAAAGCCTCGTTATAAATATCAGTAACATTCTTCGGACTATCCTCCATCTTAGCAGCACCATACAATTTCTACAACAGATATTCAAATCATCACCTCAGTATATTGGAAATTTTAGGGAAACACCGCATGAAAGTAATGTCTGGGAAAGAAAGGAACTGAAAATTTATACCTCCTTATATTTTCTAATGACTTCGGCTGCCTCCTCTCTGGCTTTAGGTTTGTCCGCCAAAGCACCAGTCATATCTTTTAAATATTCTCCATATAGTGGTTCCCACTTTTCCATATAGCTGGTAGGTACTTTAACATCAAAACAGGGGAGCATTTTGATTTCTGATACAAGGACAGGAAAATGGTGAAAATACATTAAGTTGATCAATAAGGGTTGATAAAAATCAGGATAAAATATGATTTTAGTCCCTCTAAAATTTTTCAAGTTCATGTTTAGTCTTTCAAAAGAAAATTGTTCTATTTTGATCTTTCAAATTTAAAAATATACTTCTTTTAATCCTCAAAGTCGTTTAAGTGTTATTTAAACCACTTTGAGATTAAAAGTAATACATTTTTAAATTAAAGAGAATAAAATAATTCAAGAAAATTCAAGGGATTAAAATCGAATTTCAAAAAAATTAGAAGGACTAAAAGCATACTTTTCCCTAAAAACCATGAATGGAATAGAGAAATATGGCATGACATTACAGACAGGGGTGGTGCACGGTGTAATGATGAGGGGCTAGCACCACAATTTTTTTCAGAAGAATAAGAATTTTGTTTTTTTATTTCTTCACCCGAAGTATAAAAATTGTTCCTCTCTAGCTCCACCACTGGTTATAAAGTTTTGCAGAAATAGTTAAATAGTGACTTAAAGTTTAGGCCTCACCTTGCGGGGACAAGTCTCTTGTTTGCCATTTGCCAACCTCGTCAAAAATTAAACCTAAGATAGAGGTTGAAGTGAACGATTTATCCCTTTCCATATAGTGCGGGAACATTTCTGCAGTTAAATCTTTTGGAACTTGAACCTGTTAAAAACACAAGGTTCGAATTAGAAAACTCAAATTGTTTCTTGAAATCAAATTATCTGAAAAAAATACAAAGATAAAACCGAATTCATGCTCCCTAACGATCAACCACAACTAGTAAAATGTTTTTTTTTAATCCCAAATTAACATTTTAAATGGAAGTAAGCAAAAGACCACTAATTATGGACTTAAGAGTGTAAACCTATTCCATCTCTCGGCAATCATTAAAGGGAAACAGAGAATTGACTGTCATCAGATGTTCAAGAATTCTTTAGAAACTACTAACCAGTACAGAACACATGCAACCAACATTTGTAATTTGGTACACCATAGTTGATAGGCAGTGGTGCTCAAAATTGTGGACTCCTAAGAAATAATTAATGTTGACACGATCATCACGGTAATTGTAAATGTAATCAACTAATCATAGTATTGCCCACTGTCAAAAATATATGGCATCCTGTGACTTAACATTAGATAAAATAGGTCAAGTTTAGTCCAGTTTATGAATTTATAATAACTGCTCAATAGCTGTCAAATTATCTACATCCCCAAAATACTGATAATTATAAAATTTCGGACCTAATTTGAGAACCTCCCCAGGTCAACCTAGCACAATACCCTTACCTCCTAGGGCACAAAACCCATGTGGTCTCATCTCATGTATGGCAACTCAAGCATAAAAGTAGCTAAATGTTTAGCTACATATAGATTTCATAACTAAAAATAATGGTAAAATAGGAATATTAGCCCAACTAATCATCGTAACATGAATATGTTAATTTTGTAACTCCCTACTAAAGAGGCGGAGTCTGTAGCAACCAAAAAATAATACAAAACTAACCTTTCTTCCACCTTGCTTAGGAGCATCTAACGCTTCATAGTATATATCGATCAATTTAAGTATATTTTCTTTGACATGTTCCTTCTCACTCTCTTGAGAACCGTAATTTTGTAATGTCAAAAGACGATCCATGAGTGCCATCCAGCTATCAGCTGCCCCACCTACTGTGTTACTGGAAAGAGGAGAACAAGTTTTCATGTATAGATCGAAGAATTAGAACTAGGAAAATTCTTTATTATCTGTAACAGTTATTTTCTCTCTTGGTAGCAAAGAATATACCAAGTAAAAACACTAGTAAAATGGAATTTCAATTGCCAAATGTCTACAATACTGAATACAACTATATCTGCACAAAATAAATTATAAAGAAGGTGATGTGTTACTGATACATCACTTAAATGGTCAAAAGACTCGACGTCAACACACTACAATGCATTTGAAGGTTTTCAGGCAAATTACAACATATACAAGCCTAATTATGTCTCACAAACCTCTTTTAGTTAGGGAAGCAAAATGTTAACACTTAAATACTATGTACATAGCCATATGCACACCTTGGCTGGAATCGAGCTTCAAGGAATAATCTAAAAAGTTCTTCCTCAAGTTCCTCAGCTGAAAATGCACTTGGCCTTTTAACACTAGATTCAGATCCAACAGAATTGCAAGGTGCAGAATTTTCCATCCAAGGATCACCCTTTCTGAAATATTGTAATAGCTGAAACATTTCAAAATAAATGGTCAATATGAGTAAACTACAAAGTACACTATCAACTATTGACCTGATGAAAAATTTTAGCTTCAGTTTTTCTGAAGAAAATCAGAATTGCAAAAAGGATTCAGGATATATTAAAATCTGAGTTACTCAAAATGATGGTATTGCCTCATTTCTTCAGTTGTATGACTTCTAAGGTTCTCAGGCCATCTTATCTAAGAATATTCAATTCAACAATTTTTTAACCCCTTTCCTCAGAATTATTCCCAACCTAATCTCCATGACATATAACATTATGATTCTACCAAAGTGGCAAAAAATCCAACATTGGATAATTTGATGTTCTGATTGGCTAGAATATTCTAATATCATTCATCCAACCCATCCTCTCATGTTCAGACTATTAAAATGATATATGTTGTAAATGTATTGGGTTTCTGTTATCCGATAAGTGTTTAATATATTAATACTTAACTATGAGCCAATCTATCAGTCAATAAAGATACAGACCAATTCATCCAGCCAATATGAGAGGCACTGATCACATGCAACTGGTTTGATTTTAGTGACACTTCGTTAATAAGTGCTATAAAACATAAAAGGTGACAATTACCATTTAGTTAAAAACAGAAACACTGAAAAGAATACAATTCTTTCAGTATGATTAGATATAGTAAGAACGTGAAGACGGCTTCTAAACTGAAATTGAAATTGGAACCTGGGGATGTTTAGAAACCCAGTACAAGTCACCATCAAAATCACCTCCAGCAATCTCATCTGCCACTGAGCGAGTTCCAACACGTGGGAAAAAAATTGCATACTTGCTATGTCCAACATAAGATTCTAACTCTTCCACATATCTGGCTTGCATTTTGTGAATGTCACCAAAATGTAAACCTGGATTTCTATAAACCAGCACATCCCCGGTAATTTGGCCATTCTCACTGCAAAGGAGGAATGAAACAGTCAGCACATTCATGAGTATATTGAACTGCAAACTTCATTCCTATAACAAAAATCCACAAGCGCACACAGTTGAATATGATCATTTTTCTTTTGCTAATAAATATTTCATACCACTGAGATGCATGATTTCAGCTATCCCCTTTTATAAGCTAAAAGTAGACTTCCAGTTCGGCATTAAAATTACAATAGCACAATAAAAGCTAGATATGACAGATAGACAAGTTCAACTTCTACTAGCAAAGAATATATATATATATATATATATATATATATATAAGTTACTTTTGACCCAGCTTTTCTATGAATTAAAAATTACTTTAAAGTTAAAACTCAAAATAAGAACTTCCAAAAAACATTGTTTGGAAAATTTAGCTTAAAAGATCCGTTTAAACTAAACACTCTATTTCACTATCCCACATCAATCAGTTAAAGATGTGATGGAGAGGGAGGCGCTACAGAATCAGCTTTTTTGGAAAGTTACTTCAGTTACCTTGATTCTAAAAACTATTTATCCCTCCCTTTCTTTTATATGAATTAAGTTCTTAATTTTTTAAGAATTTTCTATCAAACACTTCATAGTAAGAACTAGACCAACTCAATTATAACATTAGTCATATTAAGAGACAAACTAGAACCAAAGACCAACAAATGTTTATACTTCTGTTAAATCTATTGATCATGATATAAGTTGGGTGGTCATTGGTTAAATAGAAAAGGCATTTTTGACCATAAAGTACCTATCAAGCTAAAAGGAAAATTTTGTCATATTGATATTCAACCAATTATACTCTAATAGTGAATATTAGGCTTTGAAATGACCATAAAAGGAAAAGGTAGAAGTAACAAAAATGAGAATGTTCAGAGGAATATGTACTCACACAATTATGGCAAGGATAGAGAATAATTGTATACAAGGAGATATTGATGTGACACTTATTGAAAGAAAAAATCAGTTAATGTGGTTTGAAAATGTGCAAAGCAGGCAATTGAAGACACCGATGGAGAGAGTAAATTGCATGGTTTTTTAGCCCTGTGAAAAAGGGTAGAGATAGACCAAGGGGATTGACAAAAATATTAGAAAAAATCTCATGGTGAATAATATCCATGAGAATTCAGTTTTTAATTAAGCCAAATGACATTATATAAGCCATAGCCAACCTTACCTAGTGAGAATGTGAGGTAAGGCTATTGTTGTTGAATCTATTGGATAAGCAATGTAAAAGTAGATAAATGTGCCAATACAAACAGCAAAAAGTTATAACCATAAAGATTAAGATTTAATATTCTTTTTCGTTTGATAAAGATTGATTCATTAGGAAAATTAAGAGATTGATGCTTACTGAATTATACAAACTTCATTCTCTGCTAGGCATCCCCTGGGAGTGGGATCTACAGTCCCCATTAAATAGAAACAATCAGGCATATATATCCTCCCTCCTCTAAGCTTCTTTTTTTCTTCCCTCGAAAGTATAGACAAATGATACTGCAAAAATGGCTCATCCAAAGGTATCCCACATAAAATCATTTCAGCTGCAATGTATTCATCCATCTCACCATGGTTGATGGAAGCTGCAAGTTAACCCAGCACAGGAAAGAACTATTAGATTTTGGGCAGCAGAACAGATCCGTATCCAAAGTCCAAACAAAAACAAATTTTGATGAAATATGACCAAAAGAAGCATTAGCCACTATGAAAACTACCTCTAAGTGCAGCACGCTTATTGGAGTAGACATGTTCTGCATCTTCTAAATTACTCCTAAGTAAATCCATGAAGAATTCATTTGGAACTCCTCCATAGCTCAGAAGTGCAATAAGATATTTAGATAAATATGTTCTATTTGGTTTGTTGCTGAAACATGTAGACTTCAGATCAGGCAGTTTTCAAACAATGCAAAAAAAAAAAAAAAAAAGTCCTACTCATAAATAGAAAAGGTTAGATCCAACTCCAAAATGCTTTATTAGGCAAGTTGGCTTAGGCATAATAGAATCAAAATATCATTTTTTAAGTATTTACCTACATTAATAGAATAGATACATGCATTAGAAGAATCATAAATTTTACTCCAAATGATTAAAAAGAAAAATATCACCATAAGTGCCTTCCAAGCCATTTTATTCTTAAAAGATTCTTGCTTTGACTGGGTACAACTATACCATGTCAATTGTGCACGAGACCAATCACGCAATCGGACCCTGTATGGTGAATCCTTAATATGAAGATGTCAAAACAAATGTATGTGTGCATTGGTCTAGTGCAAAGCTATGTGATGTATCTTGATAAATAAAGCATATCATTTGTAGAAAGTACCATATCATCAAGTTTCTGCAATTGAACACAACCTATCAGTTTAAGCTTTTAAATTCATACGCCTCACAGACAGTGACCTAAGGAGGTACATTTATACTTCCTGACTTCAAGGATAATACATGTACATGTCTTGAATTATGGGTTTTTTTGCCCTTTCTAAATTTATAATTTGAATCCACTATCCATAGTTTGTCAATGATTGTTAATTTTTTGTCTTTTATTATTTAGTTTCTTTCTTATATTTTAGTCTCTTTTCAGCTCACTTTTCGTTTCAAATGAGTGTTTCCCCCTTTTCATGTAATATTTATGTCTTTATATATATATATATAATTATATATATATATATATGAGGAGGGTTATAATAATACCGATGTAATTTTTACTAAGTATTACACCGCTCAATCACTTTATATTAAATATGAATTTTGTAAATCCAACCTTAAGATTAAAAGTTCATATCACTTTATATGTTTATATCAAATTTTGTTAAAATTGAACAATTTGAAGATAACCAAAGTGTTCATATATAGTATATTTTGAAATGTATATATTACGTCAATTTTATTTTATAAGGATGAAGTATCAAATCATCTTAGATTAATATAAAATTTTGTATATATGATCTAAGAGTAAAGAACTTTCAATCTAATGATTGGATTTACAAAATTCACATTTAATATAAAGTTATTGAGCGGTGTAATACTTAGTAAAAGTTACACCGGTGTTATTATAACCCTCCTCTATATATATATATATATATAATATTTTTTTATTTTTTAAATAAACTGTCTCACTAACTCAAGGTCCTAGGTCCGCATATTTGCAAGTGAAACATAAATATGTCTCCATTTTCCACACACACACTCATATGTCAATAAGTTCAAGTAACACATTAGCAACGAGGAATATATATATATCCTGCAGAAATTTGAAAATGAAATATTGAAATACCTTGTGGTGGGGGTATAAGCAGGTAACAATCAATCTACAAACCCGAATCAATCCAATTACATTTTTGAGAGTTGGGTTGGGTCACTGGGTTGATTTGGGTAATTTTTACATTACCTAATTATAATTGGGTTGGGTAGCGGGTAATGGATTTTGTTACCCGATGAACACTACACACAACACCATCACACATACATTACAAGCTTTGCAAGAGATGAGGGGGTTAAGGTGGCAAGTGCTTTTAAAGTCTTTGAGTAAGTATTTTACTTGCTCAATAAAATTAATTTAATATTTATACATATATTTAATTCTAATTTTTTTCACTAAATATTGGAGAAGTGAGTTGATTCACTGTATTGAAGAAGACATGGAGCAATAAGAATAATTTAATTCCACTTTTTAAGCAATTCAAAATTTGTTATGTTAGTGACTTAAAGTTGTTTGGGAATTTGTGATTGTTATAATTTTGTTTATACTTTGTATCATGTATTAAAATTCAAATTATCTACTTATTTTATTTGTTTCAAAATTTTAAAATATATTAATTTTTAATTGCTCAACCCAATTGTAGTTGGGTTGCCTAAAAAAAACTTTACAAATCCAACCCAACTCATCCCAATCAAGTGTAATTGGATTGTACACTTAAATAGTTCAAACCCATTCCTACCCATTTACACCCCTACCTTGTGGTTACTACCTCCACTGAATTTATGCTTTGCTTATTCAGGAGACTCGAGTCTGTCTCAACTTTAATCATTGAAGGCCGAACCTGTATTGTCCTAGGAGGAAGCTGTAAGATTCAAAAATACAGTATCAAAATAGCACAAACACAACTCTAAAACAAACAGAAAAATAAGCATCACGAATACAGTAAATGTTGTGGGTGTTGCTTGGAATATCATGAAAACTCTCATACATAAAGTAATATTCTACAGGATACCTATAAGACTACATGCATCATGGTGTTGATTGTTGGATTGTACTCTTGAACAACATCTCTCACAAAAAGCCCTCCAAGCCCGCCAAAATTATATTACTAAAATGTTTCTTAAATATATTCCCTATCTTATCTATTTTGTCATATAAAATTCCAACTTCCAGATAATCATTGAGAACAAGGGTAAATCTGGAAATCATTGAGAGAAAAATATTTAATTACCAAAAAGTACAAAATTCACATGATATACATATAATTATTTTTTCTGAAAAAAGTGGTTTGGATCTTAATAGGACTAGACATCTGTAGGTGGTATGATAGCGACACGCAAGTGGCATGATAAGCCAAACAATAATCAATAGTCGTTAGGATATATGCTCTAATATACTCTAATACCATCTTAAGAAAGTGGATTGAAGCCTAATTCAACCTTACAAAATTGGTTTGTAAGATAAGGATTGTTTCTTACTTACATACACCAGTATGACCATTTCACTAGTTCATGTGAAATCTCCAATATTTTTTAACAAACTAACCAAGAAAGCTTCACGTAAACATAGAAATAAACTAGGTGCTCCACATAAATGTACAATAGAAAAACATACCGGAGACAAATCAATTTTTTTTGCCCAAAAGACTCAGTCATACATATACCTTTGTGTTAACCAAAAGAGTACCCTTAATTGCACAACCCATGTGATAGAGACGGCACTGAATCAGCAAAGGCTAGACAATCAAGGAAAACCGATAAGTTATATTGAAATAATATCTATCCACATTAAACAGCAAATTCAAAATATGTGAACCGGCAAAACAAAAAGCAAATAATATACCGGTTGATGTGTGCTCAGCTTCAGCTCTGCTTCTCCCATTGCCTTACTTGTATCCTCAGGCTCAACAAGATTGTTAATTTCCTAAGTTTAAAGGAAATCATAATCCATAGAATAATCAAAGAAAAAAGGGACTAGATCATAAAACACATTCAAATATATCAGAGCACATGAGTTAAAATTTGTTTTTAAAGAGAAAAATAACAGCAACAAAGGCATGAGCAGAATAACATAAAGTCCAGGCAATCAAGAATATATATATATATATATATCAAAAAGAAAAAGGCAGCGTGCATTAAAAGGATTAGTTCCTTCGAAAACATATTAATTGGAGATAATTATCCAAAAGGTTTTTCTAAAAGAAGCATTTTCATACACTTTGTCTCCTTAGTGATTAATTCTGTTTAAGATGTTTTACTCTTATAGAACAGTTGATTATGTGCAATCACATGCAAATAATTGGGAACAAAATTTTTTTTTTCTTTTACGCACAATAATGATGAGAAACACATTAAAACAATACCGTAAAAGGAATAAAAAAAATCACACAAATTTATTTAACGTGGTCCGACCCCTCATGCCTACATACACATCGATATTCATGATCTATCAAAATGTATTACAAATATATCTGAAAATCATCCTTTCAAGTTTTGTGGGTGAAACTTGAAAATCCCTTCCTCACAAGTTTTATGGGTGAAACTTGGAAACTCCTCCCTCACAAGTTTTATGGATGAAACTTGAAAATTCATCCCTCTCAAGTTTTTTGGCAAAACTTAGAAACCCTCCTTCACAAGTTTTCTAGCAAAATTTGAAAACCCTCCTTTACAAGTTTTCTAGTGAAATTTGGAAACCCTTTTTCATACGACCTCCTCTCTCATTTAATGCAGTGAGCCCCTCTACAAATTAGGTGATTCTTCTCATCTTAAGAGTTTCTGTTTATTAACCTAACATCCTAATCTTTAAAAAGAAAACAAATATCTAAAATAAATATAATATATTTCGATTCTAAACAAAATCTTAAAAGAATCAATATTTTTTAAAATCTAAACAATATCTTAGAAATTTAAACTTGAAAATTTGAATTGTTTTCCCAACACAAAGGAATATAAAGAGCATTCAACCAAAACTTTTTTCTTCCATACTTCAACTTCAGAGTTCAAACTCTTAGAATTATATATGAGCAACAGGTTTCTTAGAATTTGGATTCAAGCCTAACTCAAATCCAAAAGCTAACTCATAGGACAAGGATTGTCTCCGACTTATGAACACTATTTTGACTGTTTGATTAATCAATTTGGAATCTCTTAGACACAGTCCTCATACGGTGGACTAGGCATCATCTCAAACGTTAAAGTTTGCAAGACAGCATAAATAAAAGGCATATAAATTGTAAAAGGTAAAAATCAAGCTTTATCCCCCAAAAAACATTATTATTCATGAATGAATCAAGAAAACTAAATAAATAATCAACAGGCAATGCTGATGATAAAAATAAAATGGTGGATTCATAATAAATTTATTCCTTAAGTAGATTCCCAACACAAGTTATGACCACTGGTTGATAAATGAATGAAACTAACTGAAGAAAATGTCCAGTGGAATAACAAAATGAAAAAGCAAAGAGACCTGGATATATTTTTGCTCGAAGTTCCTTCCTTTGAACACATTGTTAGGGCAGCACAATGCCAAATCTCTAGAGATGAAGCCAGTTCCATCCGTGAGGATACGTGGTTTCTCATTATGATATATTATATTGCCATTTTCGTCCTAAACTCACAATAAAAAAATAATAAATTTTCTGGAAGCATAGCCATAAATTATATAACCCTTAAGGTGACTTAAATTGACTATACCTTGCAATATACATCTTGTATTGTTTGGACATTCACAGTTGCCAAGTCAATGTTGAGTTTTATGGTCTTTGACAGAATGAGAGAGAACCTGAACGCCTATGAGGTTAGTACATTGCATGAAATCTATTTTGAGTGGGACTGCAGCAGGATACTGAAATAGATAAAACTCTAAATGATAGTATTTGCATAAGTATCATACCTGGCCATATACTTGTCCAAACTGGGCAACATGTGAGCATGCATGAATAAAGTTCTTGCTTCAGACACTGTCTTATTAGACAAAATGTAAACAGCACTCTCATCGGCAGAACAACAGGATTGCATTCTAACAAAATAGCACTTTACAGAAGAACTTGTTGAGTCCTTCTTCTTTTCCTCTTTTCCTCCATCTTTAAAAACTGTTCAGTTGGTAGAAAATTTATAAATGTGTATATTAGTCACTAAAGGTTTCTTAAACTACTCAAGATACAGCACCAGACACATGACAATGTGATAGAATGCTTCCAGCAGCCAAGTGAACCAACAAGCTTGAAGTTCAACTACAATTGATCTCAGTCTCTAGAACTGGTGTAATGGCCTCCACTAGCCTATCTACTGCTTGTCCAAGCACCCCCACTATACCCAAAAAAGAAAAGCTTTGTGCAAAGTTTCAAATCTTGGTCCGCATCAACTTATGCGACCACAACATCTCCATGTGGCCGCTGTATTAACCCCCGATGCCACTACACAACCATGACTAAGACTGTAACTGCAATTTAAAATATTGGCTTAGAGCAAGAGGCCAGGGCAACCACCAGGGTCACCACATGATTTATTAACTACCGCACAAAGGACCACATAAACACTTGGAAGTAAGAAGCAAAGATATGTATTGTATGTTAATCATACACTCCTGATTGACCGAAAGGTAACCCAAGATTGAGGAAAGAGAAGCTGGACATATTCTCAATGTTACAGAAATTGACTCAAGAAGGTACTAATACTCTAACATAACCTAAAATTATAACACTAGCATCTGATAAAAAAGAATGTCAAAATTGAGATAATGATAGCCCATAGAAAGCCAATAATGAAAATGTAGCGTCCACATGAAATAACTCAAAATCTTATTACAAAACTGCACATGATTACAGAATATTACTGAGCATGTGAATTTTCAGAAATTTGCCGTATGAAAGATATATTGTAAGATAACAGATGAGAGGCAGAGAGTAGAACGATGAACAAAACGTGGGAGGAAAACAGATATAGAAGCAGATCAAATGGGTTGTACACTTGTAATCTAGATCATATGTTGCACAGAATACTTGCATCAGTTACATGTCAATCAGATAAAAGATACACTGGCTTTCAGGATCATAGAAACTGTAAAAAGGCAGGATAAGAAAAACAAAGTAAAACTAGTAAGATGTTGGATTACCAAAAAAACGATACAAACGCAGACCAACTTGGATCCCTTCTTTTCCAAACTTTCCATAGAGTTCATTCGCTTCTTCAGCACTGGTCCTTAAATTCTTTCCATTCCCATCTTCAGCAAATTTAACTTGCAAAACATTATCATCCCCAAGAGATTTCTGCAAGTGTCTTTGCGTGCTTTGTAATATAGGGCCCTGAATTGTAATTTAAAAAAATTAGCAATAAAACAAACCACATTTGACATAAAAATAGACAGTCAAATCAGCAAAAAGTAACTAAAATAATGACCATATAACAATCTAAATACAGTTTCTTGATCCAGTACCATAGAATTGAAGTCGTTGGATAGTGAGAGAGTCACAATCCCAACGAGTCAACAACAACTTTTTAACAGTACACAAATCCAAGGAAGGAGAGGCATACAAACCTTGAACCTTAAGCTCCCATCTGAAGAAACATAACATTGATATACATGCGTCCGACCGGAATCCCAGTCAAGATACTGATGAAACCAAAAGTTAATATTAGTAAGTAAGAAATAATTAACCACACAAGATAGCCAACACTGCAGGATTGATATTCAGCATTGTGTGCTGTGAAAGTTTGTACCCACGCCTTAACCATATTTTCTCTTTATCTTTCCATAACCATGGGCATGCAAGGGAGGGGGTAGTTAAAATAATTCAAGATTTTAAAACTTTTTGCTATCATTTTGCACATAGAATTAAATATTTTAATGGTTTAATTATCCTTTTAGTTCCTATAATTTTATCAATTTTATCTTTTAATTTCTATAATTAAAAATATTTCATTTTAGACCCTATATGTACCATTTTTACTTCTTTTTAAGCCTTATAGTTTCATAATTTTTCCCTTTTATTTCCCATAAAAATAGACATTGGAAACTAAAAGGGAACAAAAATGATATATATAGAAACTAAAATGGAATATTTTTATCCATAGAGACTAAAAGGGTAAGATGATAAATCTATAGGGACTAAAGAGTAATTAAACTTTAATTTTATTATATCCCAATCGAAACCGTCATTTTAATTCGTGATCAATTTTTAGTTGCAAAATGAAGTAATAGGGAATATCGATCAACCTAAAACTCAAATTATGAACTATACCATTACTGGGACAAACCAAACTACCACACGTGTTAAGCTTAAGCATCCGGGTTAGGCATAACTCTATTCCAAAAAAAATAATTATTAACCGGTCATTGAAACACGATGTTTACCACTTGCCGATCACTTTCACGGTAGATGTAATTTTTCCCCAAATCTTCCCATATTGTTTTCTCGAACGTTGTCATAGGCAAGTCTTTGAGCTTTCTAATATAGTCAGCATCGGTGATAACTTTCTCAAGACTCTCTCTGTATAACCCAACAAAGAAAACCACAGGTTTAACCAGAAAAACTCAACAAATTAGACTGTGCGTGAAAAAGGACGACACAAGGTATCTCTACTCCACTGATCAATTTATATACACAAAGTTAGTTAGCGCGTTTCAAGTTTCAACACTAAATAAAAGGAGTAGAAACTTCACTAGTACAAGAGAAGAAAAATTATTTGAGCTTTCCTTGTGCATATCAATTTTTTGGAATCATTTAGAAACTAATATTTGTTACCAGTAAAATTCATTTTTTCCCCTTTTTTTAATAACACCAAATGTATGTTTTCATGTCAAATAAAATTACTATAGACAACAAAACTTGAAGCATTTAAGACAAAACTCTCCTATTCAAGAAGGCTGCATATCATAACTCGAAATCAATACATCTAGTTAAGACCACATGCATTTACACGAAAAGCAATAAGACCATTAGGTGACAAAACTTTTCCTCTCAGAAATTAATGCAAAACTCGAACTCAAAGACACGATAAATCTAGAAAATTATCTAACTTTGAAACATGAAAATTAGGATAATATATTTAAACCGTTGGATTTATAAAAATAAATTAAATTATGAGACGTGTACAATATATATTTTAACTTAAAATATACACGTGTCATAATCTAATATATTATTATAAATTCATCTATCATAATTTCCTCTCATAAAATCGGAGAATCCATTTCCATCTAGAACAACCACACCAAGGGACATAGTGGTATTGAAAACTCAATTCAGGTAGCTCTTATTATTTAAAATTAATTAAAGTGACATACATGCATTGATGAGAGAGGAAAAAACACATACTATTTATTCAAACTTGTTGAAAGAGAGTGAGCATTGCATTACCGTCCGATGTAAGAGAGAAGCAGAAAGGCCTTTCGGAACTCCAATTCGCCGAGCGCCTGCATCTGCGGCGCGTGGAGCGAGTGCTGGTAGGGGCGCGTGGGGGTGGGGGTGGGGGTGGGAGTGGGCGAGGGAGAGTTGGTTTGCTTGAGCATGTGTTTGGTGAATGCGGAGAGAGTGGTTCGGATTGAGCTTCGGGCGATTGCGCGGAGGATGTAAAGCGCTCTTTCCTCTCCCGCGGCGGCGAGTTCTCGGCGGAGATTGGAGTCCGGCGGAGACTGGTTCTGGCTCCGGCAGATTTCCTCGATCAGATTGTCGACGGAGGTGGGAAGAAACACGTGATCGGCCATGCGAAGAAGAAGAAAAGTTTGTTACTTAAAATTTGAACAAAGTGAGGAAGTGAATGAGTGAGTGAGTGATACATATAAGCAGTGAGAGTGGGTTGGTTCCCGCTTCTCTCACTGACAAACTCTCACTATTGGTTCAAATCAAACACCTTTTTTGCCTTTTCACTTTACAATCAACCATCTCTTTACCTTTCAACTGTTTGTTTAACCAGAGAAATGTTGAGAATATTTTTATTTTTTTAAAATATAAAAAATTACAAAAATATATGCTAAACATTTTTTAACGTATTATTCCTTTTCATAATTTTCAAATCTATATTTATCACTGGGGTTACTAGTATTTTAGTTTCTTCATTAGACATGTTAAATATTTGTTATATATTAATGGGAAAGCGTCTCTGTTAATTTAAAATAAAAATAAAAAATAGAAAATAGGATTCGTGGTTACTCATATATTTATAAAAATAAAAATTAAATAAAAAAAGATACTGAGAGAGAGAGGGGGGGTTTAGAAGTAGAGAAGTTATTAAAAGAATTAAATATGAAAATAATTAATCTGATTGTTGAATTCAACTCTTATATATTAAACATCAAATATTATCTTATTTGTGAGTATTTTTAAGAGTTTTTTTCACAAAAATATTTTTATAAGAATTTTTTTAAAAAAAAATTATCTAACTTAATTTTTATTTATTAATTAAAAATTAATATTTTAAAATAAATTATCAATAAAAATATTTAAAAATATTTATTTATATAAATTTTAAATATAATTTATATACTCAAACATAATATTTATATATATTAACGAAAAAGGTATTTTGCGTCTCTAGAAAAACAAAAAAGTTTATAATTATTTAAAAATGTATCTCTTTCATTTAAATAAAATTAAATAAAAAGAAAAAATCTCATCACACAATATAATCATTCATACTTAATATATATAAAAAAATATGTTTTAATACCTGTCTTTTTTTCTATTTTTTATTAAATACTTCTACCATTTTACTCATAAATTTATATTATACACTTTATAACTATAAAAATTATTCACCCTTTGAAAGAAAGAAAAAACTCAATACAATTGCCTACTTTTAAATCTTAATATATATTTTTTTACTGCAACTATCTTCTCTCAAAAAAAATTTTAAAAATATCTAGACATAAAATACTTTTTTCTCTTATTAATAAGAATAAAGAATGTTGTCAATAGTATTTAAAAAAAAAAATATTATAAAAATAGTCGCAATGAGAATTGAAACTAGGTTCTCATGCTTCTAACTATTACAATTCTCGTTAATATTAGTAGAAAAAGTTAAATAAATAGGTATTGCTATATTCTCTTATTTATTTTTTCCTACATCAAGATAAACAAAAAATAATTTTTTATTTTTATGAACAGTTACATTTAAATTACAAAGTAAAATAAAATATATATATATTTGTGTGTGAATACAAGGAAAAAAAGTCTATATTAAAATGAAAATAAAAATTGTTACCAAAACGTATTTTTTTATATAATATTAGAGGAGTTAAGACATATTTTATTTCTAATAATTATATATAAATAAATATTAGAAATTACGATATAATGATCCACTTAAAAATTAAGATAAAAATGGTTAAATACCCAATATTTCTTTTATAATATATATAAATATATATTTACGATAATTATAAAGTTTACGTCTTTTTTTTTCTTCTGCATATTACGTATGTCTCTTATTATGGATAAAAAAAAAATAAGAATATCTCTTTTTGTGTGAATACATTTTTTTCATATTACATAAGCTATCAATTTCATCTTCCTAAACAGATTTTCAAAATCAATTTTTTTTTTAATATTAGTAGTTTGTTGATTTTGATAATATTTATTTTAATAACTTCATAAGTATGCTTTTCAGTATAAAAGTTGTTACACAACCAGTGATTGAAATTCATGTTCAATAAATTTATAATTTTTGTTGATTTATAATTGTATGACAACATAAAAAGTTTACACAATAATATATATATATATATATATATATATATATATATATATATATATATATTTTTTTCTCTCTCTTTATTGTTTATATTTTT